ACAGTTTGTTTCTGCGAAACGCGCGTCTTCGCATAAGCGCGTACGCGCGCGAAATTTCAATGGATACGAAGACCGCGTTCCCCCGATAAGAAAGTTAAATGTACTCACGTTCGCCGCGTTAAATGATCGATGGCGGTGGAACTCGGCAATTCGTGGGCAACATCTGGTGGGTCTTTGACGGCCGTCTGATCGCGGTTCTCTGAAAATCATGAAGATTTATCGTTAAGCGCGGATTTCCTTAACCGTTACGAGCAATGCAAATGCGTAGGCCCCACTGATATTTTTTAAAAAGAGCCAACGATTTAGCGTGCATCTTGTCACCGAAAACACGTGAAAACAAAGAAAATTAAGGGCCGGTTTCTCCAACCTTTTGGCAAATTAACTAGTTAAATTACACAGAGTGTCTCATTTTAAATGATCCATGCAAACATCTCCAACATATGAAAGATACGAAAAATTTTTGTGTATGTCTATCTTTATCTAATTTGAAGGTAAAACAAAGACACGTGTAGAGGAAAGTCCCCTATTACGAGGTAGGCCCCTAATATGAGACAGCGGAGTTTCTGCTAAATTCGTAGGCATCACCTGTTGGCTCCACCATGAACTTATTGCCCTTGTCGCGAAATCTGTTGAGCGAAAAATTGATTGTTAGATCGTGTAATCGTTGGACATTGAAAACCTCATAATAGAGAACCTTCCTGTATGATTTAACTACTAGTTAGCTACGAAGACGTTGGAACAATCGGCCCTAAAACAAAAGTAATTCGGCCACGAGAGGGTCGATGTCGTGGGACAAACGTTGAGGTCCTTAAGAGAAAACTCTACTCTTTAAAACAAGAAACGAGAAGCCTCCGCATGTTAAAATTACTGGGCCACCTGCGTCTCACTGGGACCCAACGGGCTTCTCGTTTCTTGTTTGATTTACAACGGTCCTGGTCTAACTTTGTTTCTACAGTTTAATTCAAACAACCCTGTTGCGTTTTACGATTTTACATTCACTCTAGGGACAAACGACGAGGATATTTATTAATTTAAAGATACATATTAGACTTTGGCGGTTTGCTGTTTTAACGCGTTATTACATTTCGTTGTCATTAGTTTCTTTTACCTCGAGCAAAGCTCCTCTCGTCCTCGGTAAGGCGAGAGTCGCGCTCGAGTCCGTCCGTTAGCTGGCCGGATATCCTCCAGTCGCGTATCTCCTTCCGTAAAATGTAAATCGGATCGTCGCTGCCCGCGCCGGCGACGCCGGCCTCGTCGGACGGGCGGACCTTGTCGTGTCCCACGTCGTCGCGCACCATCTTGTCTCTCCACCGCGAGAGAAGTCGCCGCTCGCGGGGACCTCGCGGCTTGGTCGCGCAGCTTTTTACGTCCCCGTCCTTCGGCGAGCGCGTCTTTCGCGGCGACGTTCCCGCGGACACGGGCTTTTTTCCGCCGGGCGTGGGCCTGGCGCGTCGCTCGGAAGAAACGTTTCTCGTGGACACGGCGGGTCTTCCACGATCGCGGTGTTTAGCTCCCTGAGAAGTCGAAGCGAAAGGCAGAGATAAATCGGCGTGTAATTGCACCGGCGCGATGACAAACAGCTTAAAGCCAGCGGCACACAATACTGTTTTGTCCACTGGATTGCTCGCGACAGCCAATCAGAATTTAGCCTCGATGCCCGTTTCTACCAACGCAGACTCAGCTTTGATCCCAGTTGAACTCGCTTTATATCTTTTCCCAGTTTTAAAAATTAGAAAAAGATGAGAAGTAATCCAAGTCGAGATTAAAGTTAATCTGCAGTGGTAGAAACGAGCATAAGTCAGCCTGATCTAAAACTCTGCGTCGTTATTGGGCTCTTGCGAGAAATGCAATGGGCAAAATAGTATCGTGTGCCGTGAAGCGTTTTAATTCGATTTTACTTGTCGAGTAAACATCGGATTAACTGTTAACTAGGGTTCAATCGACTCCCTATCTTTTTCCATCTTATTATTTAAGAAGAGGCAGAGAATCAACTGACCTTCGGTCAGCAGTTAAAAAAGAAATGTCAAGGCCTGTGTCCACGATGCTAGAACTTGGTCCAAGTTCTAGTTTCGAGAAATGTGTAGCCAGTCAACTCGCAGCTGTTCCATAAAAGCTTGATTGGCCGCACATTTCTCGGAACTAGAACTGGGACCAAGTTCTAGCATCGTGGAAACAGGCCTTAAGGAAATGATGAATCGTACGGAATTGCGTTATAAATCTCAAATATGAATTTCCAAAACTTATCGCACATTTATGATACCGGGTGTAACCCAGCGAGAAATATTTCGTCGAAACGATGTCAATTCGACATGAATTTGACGGCGTCGATCGACGAGTCATTTTCCGCTGGAAATGTGTATATACATATATGCCGATACGCCTCCTTGACGAAGGACATAAAAATCGCGTTAAAAAGAAAGGAAGAAATCAAACTCGAATCGGCGGTGAGTCGCCATAACTTACAATCATGTCGGCGACGCGGCATCAGCAGCGACGTATTAACAACGAGGGGAGGGAGGAGGGAAGATGTTATAAATCTGCGGCTAGGCGTCGCGGCGCGGATTAGCGCGCTAAACAATCGCGCGATACATCATCTCTCTCCCGCGGCCGCGATATTCGGGGAAAAAAAGAAGGGAACAAGAACGAAGCTCCGTTTAATTATCGCGTGGGATTCCGCGAGAGCGGCGACTTGCCGTTTGCTCGCTCGAGGCTCGGGCGTTGCACGGGCGTGCACGGACTCCGGGAAACTTAGGCGCGTACGCACGGCGGGTTCCGAAGGCTCGTCAGGCTCGTCAGCTGTCCCGGGCTCGCGCTACCGTAACGGAGACGTGGACGTTTACGGGGAAACGGTCGTGCGGAACGAACGCCACGGGAATCCTGCGGGCTGAAGTGAGCGGCGCGGCCGCGTTCGATACGGCGCCCCCGATTTTCCGCTATCGACGTGAATCTCGCAGCGAGGATCGTCGGGAAGGATCGAGGGTGGAGAGTCGCCCTTGGTATCTATCGGGAATTATTCCGTTTCCCCTGGAAAACACAACGGAAGTCTTAGAAAGTGATTGAACAATTCCGAACGGAATCCAACAGTAATGGACAGAATGGCTGGGACACTTAATTTTTATATGAGTTTAGGAACGCGCAGTTAGATTCGGGTATTCGTTCCGAAGCGATTTCTCCGAGGAAAATATTTCACGCGAGAAACAGAGAGAAGACCGGAAGCGTTTGAAATGGTTTCGGCCGTCGAGTCAAGTATTTCTCAGAGAGGAAGATTTTGGAACGTGATCTAGTGAGAAATGGATTCGTCGAAGCGATGTCGGAAATGGGTGATTGATCCCTGTCGATCTCAGCCTACGTTGTCTCTTTTCATTTGGCGCGAAACTCTCTCTCGCTCTCCTCTCGTCCGTCGTCTCGGGAACAACATGGCGCGCGAAGGACACGGGGCGGGCGCAACGCGGGGCCCTTTTCGCGCCTCGATCCCGGGCGTCGATACGGCGCATCTGCCGCCGCTCCCCCGCCCCCCCCCCCTCGCCGCGGGGACGTCGCTCGCCGGCGTCGTCGATTTCCCCCCAGAAACGCCGATCGGCGCCCCGTTTGGCTTTCGCCGCGCGTACTCGCGGTTTCCGCCCGAAAAGTTTCTCCGCGCGGACTCACCTTTTAAATGCAGCTGCGTCTCGGCGGCAGCTGGATCTCGAAACTCGCGCGCGGCCAGTTGCCCCGTGTGTATCGTTCTCGCTTCCTCGCAGCCTCTCTGTCTCTCTCGCTCTTTCGAGCGGCAGGTCCGAGAGACGGGACGCTCGAACGCGCGACGGGACGGCGTTTCCGGTACGCGCGTTATAAAGCCCCGAATTCTGGAGCGATGCTGTATATTATGTACATACGATACATACGAATAACGTCGAGGGAATCGCACCAGTTTGCCGGACGAGCGTCCCGACGGCGGTTTAACGTTTTATTCAAACGATCGGCGCAGCCAACCTCGAAGATTGGAACCGTCCCCGGGCGCAGTGGTGCAAACTCTGACTGGCTAGCGCCATCGGGTGCTACACTAGCTGCACCGTCGGCTACACCGCTTAGGTCCGGTTTCACCAAACGTCGCTTAACTTTAATTTTACAGCGAATTCGATTGCTTGCACCGGTGCGCAGTGAGTGCGCACTAAAGCCTGGTTATAGTTCATTTTTATTATTGTATTTTTATTTAACTTTGTCTCAGATACACGTTTAAAGAGTACTTAGCCAAAAGGTGATTCGTATGGACGCGATACAGATAATTTTACTGGCTACGAAATATTTCAAGAGAAGTTTAAGACGATTCTTAATGAATTGACGGTAAACAAGCCTTATAGCATTTTCGATTTGCTGACTCGACCCGACTCCGAGTCAGAAAATCGAAAACGCTATTAGTGTGCACTCAGTGCGCATTAGGCAAGCTGCCGAATTCGCTATTAGTTTGTTTTATGTTTGTCTCTTTCTAAAGTAATAGTTGAAAAGAACGACGTTGGTGAAACCGGGCCTAGCCCCTGGTCCACAATCTTGCTTTAAGCTTAAACCAATCACAGGTGAGAGTGAGGGGAATAAATGTTTGTGATTGGTTAATTTCTTACGGCTTAAAGCTTACAGCTTATTTAAAGCAACATTGTGGACCAGGGGTTAAGTTGGAAACACACGAAGGAACTTGAGGCCTTCACACATAAAATTCCGTAAGGACGTAAAACGTAAGCGTAAGAAAATCAACAGGTTGGATTTGCTACTGCTTGCGTCATTGCCTTACGTTCTCGACTGTGATTGGTCGATTTTCTTATGCTTACGTTTTACGTCCTTACGGAATTTTATGTGTGAAGGCCTTTAAACGGCGAGACTTAAAACTTAAGAATTTCAACCAATCGGAATTTTCGGCATCGCTTAAGTTTCAAAATGGCCGCTCACGTTCTCGACAGCCATTGGTCGTTTCCCTTAAGTCTTAAGTTTTGCTGCTCAAGGTTTTTTCGTGTGTTCGGGCCTTTGTGGTTTTTCGGCGTTCCTAAAATCCCTGAGTCGCGACTGTACACATATATCGTGCGCACGTGCTCGTCCCTAACCTTAGCGATCGCCCCGTCAGGATCCGATGCGACATTCACAGGCGCGTGGTAAAAGTTAACGGAGATACCTGGCGTGAACATTAATTCCTGGCGATGGCGATGCAGGTCCCGACCGACGTGGATGCCGACCAGATCAAATCCGTATGTATTTCCGGCGTTGCAGCGGCGTCCTCGCCGCGCGACAAGCGCGAGCGTCCCGCTACGCCTCGAACGAAATGACGTAGATGAACCCGTGCACTGTAACCCGAACGCAATTTATCTTTCACAGTTCCGAGACTTCTTGACCTCGTATAACAAACTCTCCGAGATTTGCTTCGTCGACTGCGTAACCGACTTCACGACGCGAGAGGTCAGGCCCAAGGAGGCCAAGTGCGCCCTTAACTGCATGGAAAAGTACCTGAAGATGAATCAGAGGGTGTCCCAGCGTTTCCAGGAGTTTCAGATAACCGCCAATGAAAATGTCCTGGCGGCCAAGAATCAAGGTCAGGCAATTTAGTCCCGCCAGTGAAACCGTAGACGAAATGATCTTGTCGCCCCTGTCCAAAGCTTGTTACATCGCGATATCGCGTAAGTTCGCAATAAACAGCACTTCTTGAGTATCTCTCCGGCAGTCCAATCCACTCGATCTCTAATAGTTTGTCCAAGACTTAAAAACGGTTTTATTTTGGAATTAGAAAACATTGATTGTACAATGACTTATGTACTATAATGTATTGTGATATAAAACGTTGAACGATGTAAATTATGGAAGCGACGGAGTTTATGTACACGTTATATATATATAAGTAAACTTCTATCTTTTTTAATAATATTAATACAAGAGTGAATTTGACTCTGAACCACATTAGTCTTAGATGCATTATAATTTATCCCAGTTTCATAACATTGCATATAAATATTACAATTTTTACAACGTCACTTTATATATATATAATAATAATAGCTTAATCGGGTAAACGCTACGGTACAAATACTTATACAACTGTCGAATTTCTGTGCGTCATGTGCGACTGTTATGAATATTACGAACATCTCCAATTCTAATAACATGAGAATTTATACAAAAACTTGCACATATACATATATACATATATGATGCACATTCGTCAGAGAAAACAATAAATATGTATATATATATATATATATATATATATATATGCATGTATATCTAACTAGATTTGGAATGTCCAAAATCAGAAAACTTTGGCTTTCCTTGTACTTCAACGTCCATACTCTCGCTCTCCCACTCGAACGAGGACAACGTTTGGACGCTCGCCTGTACGGAGCTCAGATTGCTCGGCGCCTGATTGACGATCTGCGGGCCGAAGCTCGTGCTGGAAATCTGAGGCTCCTCGGTCTGCATCGAGTCCGAGTTGGGCGAGTTCGGCGGTGTTTTACGCAGCCTCTTGTAGTCCGAGAATCTGTTCAACGACACCTGGTCTACGCACACGGCCTGCGTGGTGTGCCGTGTCTTGTATAAAATCGGACAGCCCTGGTCGCCCTTCATGCTTAAACTGTACAAATTGGCGAGTCGGCGCAGCTTCTCGCGCTCGGGCTGCCGCATAGGGTGGAGCTTCAGCTCGCTCTGCGTGGGATCCTGCAGGAATCGCGAGACCTTCTCGTTGGCCGACGTGATGATGGAGTAACCGGGCTTGTTGTCGACGTGGCGCCGCCCGGCGCGGATCTCCCTGCCGCTCAGGCCCTCGCGAATGCGCTGTATTCTCTGTCTGTAGTTTTTCTTGGCCTCCGCAACCGAGTGCTCGCCGTGCAGTATCATCTGGAAGGTCGAATCCGTCGTGGCCTTGTCGTCGCTGGTGCTCTCTCCGTCGTCCCGCCAACTCGACTCTCCGATCCAATCCGACTGTTCGTCGTCACCTGCGAGAATTGGTTGTACGATTCAACACGTGCGCGTGACATCTTAGGTCCGTTTTTTATAGCTAAACTGGGTGTACTAGAGTTTATCTCTCTCTTTCTCCACGTTGGGAGGAGAAAGATAAACTCTGGGCGTCAATTCTGTATCTTATAGTACAATGAAAATGCTGAAAATGACCGGCTTTGTCTCTTTCTAACTGTTCCATTAGCTTTTAGCATTTTACTGTAGTGTAAGATACAAAACTGACTCCCTGAACCAGTGCTGCATGTTCAGGTAGAAAGAACAGATTTGATAATACTCGGTGTTGCCTTGTAGCGAATTTGCTTGCACTGGTGGAGGCTTGTTTATAGTCAATTCTTGTATTTAACTCTCTCTCAAACGTTCAACAAGTGTTTAGCCAGAAAAATGATTCGTTCGGGAGATACTTAGGACGATCCTCAAAGAATTGACTGTAAAATAGGTTTAGTATGCACTAAGTAAAAGCAACCGAATTTGCAATCAGAGTTAGACGCACCTTCTCTGTCCTCGTCGTTTGTAATGAGACCCGCCTCCGAGTCGCTGGACGAAATGCTGGAACTGGATATACGGGAACAATCCACGGTGTCCTCGCCTTGCATCTTGTCCCGATTTTTCGGCTTGGCGTTCTTCGTCGGTTTAGACACTCTCATCTCGCAGTCTATCGAACGTTCTCGGCAGGATCTCTTACGTTTCCCGCACCTGGAATATTATGTAAATGCATTCGTTGTTTCCTGGTGACGAAAAACAAAGCGAGAGACAAACAACGCTCCTTACCATATAGCGCCGTATCTGTTTTTACAATCGCTCCGGAAGATGCGCTTCTTTCCGCCGAACGTCGAGGTCGACATGATCGCCACCGCTTGAGACGTGGACGCGTTCGAGTCAGAATCGATCGCCATTCTCTTGAACTTCCTCTTGCGCCTGGTGTTCGCCCTCGGCACAAAGTTCTCGTTCACCGAGTCGCTCTCGATGTTACTGACGTTATTCAAGTTCGGGAAGTGCGCGAAACGCTTGGTCTGATTCGTGTCGTCGCTGTCGGACTGATACTTGGAAACGTTGGCGGTCTTCGAAATGCGAATTTCACAGATAGAAGATGAACTGTCGTCCGAATGTTTGTTCATGCTCAGAGCCGCTGCAAAGACATTCGCATATTAATCATTCGGCGCACTCGAATGGTCGCGCGTTACTCTAACTCTCCAAGATTACGTCGTGCAATTAACATGTGACTTGTTTGTGCCACAGACACTGGTCTCTACAAACGTAATCTCGACAGCAACCCCGAAAAACTGTGCGCCTCGCGGGGGTAAACTGCAATTGACCAGTGCGTAGGTGCGATTGGAATCTTTGAGTTGTGTCCACTTCTACCAATGTAGTTTAACTTTAATCTCGGTTTAAGTTACTCTCCATCTTTTTCCAAATCTTAAGGTCTGTGTCTACGACGCTAGAACTTTTTTTTGGACGACTCAGGAGAAATGCTCATGCATTCCCCTCGGCCCGGGGCGGCCAAGAGGATATGTTGGACTCTGCACCCTTGCTCTAAAACTCCTGGCGGTGTACTACCTCTAGGTTAAGCGGGGGACGATCCGGAATCATCGAATGGCATAACACCAGGCCGCCCCCCCAACCCAACGATGCTTGGATCAAGTTCTGACATCGCGGACACAGGCCTTATGCGCTTAATCCTTAGCTGGCACACTGGGAACAAGATATGGCACCACAAGTACAATTTTTGTACTACAAGGGGGCTTAAATTTGAGCTAAACTGGGGCGTTTGATACCCCACGGTGCCAGCTAAGGCTTAAGACTGTCTTAAGCCGTAGACGTGAGGCAAGGCAGAGGAAAACTCAAGTCGCGAAAGTCTCTCTCTGCCTTGCCTCACGGGCTACGACCCTAAAGACAGTCTTAAGCGCTTAAGGCCTGGTCCAAGTTCCAGCATCGTGGACGCATGCCTTTACGGATTGTCCTCTGTCGTCAGGCCTAAAGTTAGACGACGTTTGGTGAAACCGAGCCTCAGAGCTAGAAAGAGACAAAAAGAAAGTTAAGCCGAGATCAAAGCTGATCCGCATTGATAGAAATGGCCCATTGTCCTCTGCTACGTTTCCTTCGAACGGGTTGTGTCGTGTCGCGCGAGCTCTCGCACTCTTTTTTTTTTTCCCCCCACCCCATACGCTTACGGATATTCCCCGTGGAGCGGGCTCTCCTCCTGATGCCCCATCTGCGTCTGAGATTCGCGCTATTGCTGCTCTCCTCCAGTGCCAAAGTCAAATCGTGCACAAGAGCCTCCATTTTTACTCTTAAATCCGCCGGTACAGCTTTCAAAACACGCTCCATTTGAAGGACGCGTTTTTTGCTGCAAAAGAAAAAACGTCAACGGGCGAACTTTAATCGGCCGATCCCATCGATTGATACAATCCGCGCGACTGTCGACGGCGCGTATCGGCATACGCGGATTTACATGGCGACCGGCCAGCGATCCGTTTCACAATATCGTCTCTCCGCGCGCGGCGACGCGGGTCCGAATACTCGCGGTCTCTCGGCTCTCAAAGTCTACGGCTCTACGGCCCACACATTCCGCGCTCGATCGCGCGGCGACGAATTCGCGGAACTCCGTAGCGCGAGAGGCTGCGCTCTGTTCACATCCGATCGAGGTATCGTTTCTACGGCGCGGATCCGCGGCGGACCGGGCGGACGAGCGACGCGGCGGGCGCGCGTGCCATTCCTCGGGGCAGGAACCGAGCGGACGGCGGACCTCGCCGTGGACGGGACGGAACGGGAGGGCCGAGTAGGCGCGTGCGACGCGGCGCCGAAAAGGCGTCCCCGTCCCATCGACGGGGGGACGTGCCATCGCCGGAGCGATATACGTCAATCGCCGCGGCGAGGAGGGGGAGTCGAAACAAATCGCGATTGCGTCGGGGCCTTTAACTCGGCGTGCGTGTATATGCACCGAGTACGTAACATCCTGCCCGCTCTCTCCTTCTCACCTCTTGTAAGTAATGTCCATGGGTCCCCGGCGCCTCTCAAAACTGTCTCATTGTCGAGCGCGGTCCCGCGAGTCGAAGGGGGGGGGGGGCAAATCGCTCGCGGCCGAGTCGGGGGGGGAGGGCGCGTTTCGTTTCGTGCGACGCGACGGCCGCGTCGGACAACGTTAAACTATTTTCCGTCCGCGCGAACGCGTAACGACGCCCCGCACGTCACGCAGAGGTAAACGAACGCTCGCGTACGCCTTGCATTCGGGATCGCGCGCGACGCCGCCGGTCGCTTCATGAGAACGCGTCCCCCCCCTCCCCGCGAGGGCGGTCAGGGCGGAGGAAACGCCGTCGGCGCCTACGCCGAGTACCTGTGGACGTAGCGTTGGAAACGTGTAAACTTTATTTCCCCCGCGGTCCTGCGACGGTCTCTGAAACTCTACATATCGCGGACTGCGATCACGTTTTCCTTCGAAATCTTTCGTTGTATTGCAAAATTATTTTTGGAACATTTTCGCAGAAACAGAATATCTTAAAATATTCCCGCGATGTTGGAAAACATTTGAAACAAGAGAAAAATAATATTGCTACGTTGCAAAATATGTTTATGAAACATTTTCTGTGAAAACATAAAAAGTTTAATATTACATTGCTATTTCAAAATATTTTATAAATTTGTCAACAGAGTTCGAAAAGAATATTGAAAAGATCTTTTTAAGATACTTTACAAGTATATTGAATCTCTCAAGATATTTCGTGCTATCAGGGTCTGCTTGAAAGAAATAAAGAAAAAATTCGGAGTCGCGAGAGGGTTGGATTTTCGCGGAGCGAATCTCGCGCTCCGCCGCGGGCGCGCGTTCCGAAAGTCACCGAGACGAGCCGCGCGCGCGGCGCGTGCGCGCGGGCGGCGGTGAGAACGCGGCATGAGCCCGCTGGCGCGGCGGCCATTTCCGGTGTCCCGTCGCGCAGGACAGACGCTCCGCGAGTGTTTCCGAGTCTCGTAGCACCGACCGCTTCGGCACGGAATTGGCGCGTCGTCGGCCGCGGGCGTTGCGCGACCACGGGCCCGGCGGTTCCCGTCGCGCGCGAGCACCGCGAGCGGAGCATCGGCGACGGCGTGATGCGCGTTCGGCTCGCGCGGACGTGTCCGACGAGCAGCGCGGTTGTGTAAATAGCGCGTAGCGGTCGTCTGCGCACGCCCGCTGCGCATCCGCGGGCCAGATGAGCGCGCGATCGCGCCAGCTAGACGCGCGGGTTGCGAGGGGGCTGTGAGACGCTCGCGGGTGCGAGAGAGAGAGAGATAGAGTGAGGGAGAGCGCGAGAGAGGTGGGCGGAGGAGGAAGAAGAGCGAGAGTGAGCTTGTGCGGTGATCGTCGATTTATTTGACAGTGCTCGAGCCGGAGGTGCGAGGCGGTAGCTGTGAGTCTTGACTGGCGTCGATCGGCACGGAAGGTAGCGCGGTTCGCGAGTCATCGAGCGGCCGCTCTGATTCCGCGATGGACGGCGCGAACGTGAATGGCGGGAACGCCGCGGTACCGCGCGAGGATCCTAACCTCGAAAGCGGCGGCGGCGGCGGTGCTGCTTCAGGTGCGGCGGTCGTGCCGATGGACACGCAGGACTCGAGCGAGAAGGCGCAACTGCTGGCCGCGACCGGCAACGCGGACGCGCAGGAGGTCAACGGCGAGCTGAGGGGCTCGCCCAGGAAGCACGGCACGCCGCTGCCTCGCAGGAGGATTAGAAAGTTCAAGGCCAACTCTACGGGCGCGATGGAGAGCGACACGGCGGAGGCGCCTGGGACGAGGGGGCGCAAGCGCAAGTTTTCCGAGTACGAGGACGCGAGCTCCGAGGACTCGGAGGAGTTCAACGGCTTCGACCCGCAGGGACTGGAATTGCAGCCGGGCAGTCACGTACTGAACAAACTCATCGGTAGGACACGCTCTGTTGCGCTCGCGACGCTCTTTATTGCCACAGCAGGGGCGATTGCATCCTGATGTTGCTTCTATTTATACATTTTTTTCGCGAAACCGCTGGATAAGTCGAGGGAGAGAGTGCGAAATGGTTAGCGAGGATTAATTTGTTCCCAGATTTCTTTGTTTGATGCGATAGAGCTGTAATTAAGACGTAGACAGGAGTTGTTTTATTAGTCGGATAGAAGTTTGAAATCTGTACGTGCAGAATTTATGAATTTAATATAATGTCAATTTTAGAGTGTACTTTTCCGTATATTGCACGGCGATTATCTCCAACGCCTTGCAAAATCGTTAAATTGTACGGTTAGTAAGAAACAAAAGTGGAATGGATGTAATTGTTACGTTACAATGAGTATTTGGAAGAGAATTTGGAAGGACGTATTTTACGTTTTACGCGTTGCTGTGGCAATCGTATCCGTTCAATGTACGAAAGTAATCGTGATCTCTTTCGGGAGAGCTTGGACAATTATGAATTTGACGTACCTTATTGCAGCCGAGGCGGAGATAGCGGAAGCGCAACTTGTGAAACGTGTGAAATATTCAACGAGGACTTACGATGCTAGAGAAAAGATAGACGATAACCAAGATTTTGATGACATGAGAACGTACGTTTACGAAACCGATAGTTTCGGGCATTTGGATATGACGAAGATTAAAAAAGAGAAGGAGTCGGATAAATCCGAAACAGATTCTATTGATATACCAAATAGCATAGATTCCGAAATCGAGCCAAACAAAATCGATATAACTTCCATTAGATCGGCGAATTCGTCGTCGGCCGCGAGTAGTCCCTCGGCAACGTCGCAAAGATCAAAAGGTAGCCTCATTTCTGGCGGCGCCAGTCCAGGGGGAAAGCAGAAGGCTCCCGTTGACATGTCCAATCCTTTGTACAAGGAGCCGTTTAAGTATGGATGGAAGCGAGAATTAGTATTTAGGGCTAGTCACGACTCTTCCTTCAAAAAGATGGCCGATATATACTACTACACACCAAAGGGGAAGAAAGTCAGGAGTTTTAGGGAAGTCGCAGAATCTCGTAAGTGGGCAGAAAGAGAGTGTAATCGGGCCAGTAATAGATGTGTATATTAAACTTGCGATCTTTGTTTTCCAGTTAATTCGAAGGAGTTGACCATTGACAATTTTACGTTCTTTAAAGAACCTCTCGGACTTAACGATCCTGAAAAGGAGATCATTCGAGACGCTAAAAGATCACGAGTACGTTTTCAGCCTTTATATCTTTAAGTTTTACCGTTGCCATGAATATTATTATGAAAATAATGTCGTGTGTAACTTAATAATTGTCTTTCAAGTCTTAAGCCTATAAGCATTCTTGAAAGAAAGACTCAATATCTTGGACATTACAGGGATCTGTGAGTGGGTCTTCGGCAAAGAAATATAATAAGAAACCTGTATCGATAAAAAAGACAGTACAGGAACCTGTAGCAAAGAAACCAGAACCTGCAACGAGAAAATCGTTACAGGAACCTAGTACGTCAAAGAAGCAGCTGGTACAAGACCCACCTACTGTTGCACCTGCGCCTGCAGAAACTTCAAAACTTCCTGCGCCTGTGTCGGTACCGACAAAAGCGGCTAAATCGACAAAGGCAGCAGCGTCTCCGGCATATAAAGCAAAAACGACAAAGAAAACTCCACAAATAAGTACGTTCTTGTGTTTGTTAATTATATGTATTGTGCTCTTTTCAGTTCTCTATCTGATTCGACGGCCCACTTTGACTTGTACATAATTTGAAAATATACGAGTTTCTAAATTAAATTTCTGATTATATTACGCTTACATTTGTTATATTATTTTGCATCTTTTTCATCTGATTCAGTTTTCTTAATTTGTATAATACACAAATTAGAAATATGTATTATTCAATTTGAAACTTAATACTTAATAATTGGGAAATACATGAGTTTCTAAATTAAATTTTTATAGTCTTTCTTTCTCTTATAATTTTAAGCAGATATAATGATTTAAACGGATTTTCTTACTCTTAGTTTTATTACACCATTCTCACGAGTATATTCTGAAATTTGCATAGCAGAAATAAAAACACCAGCCGAAGAAAGCGATATGCTTCCACCTCAGCGGAGTACGGCAAATACGAGAAGAAGTCAACAGGCGGCCGAGAAGATTATACCAGTCAAAACCAAAAGATTGCTAACGTGAGTACTTCAAGTTAATTACACTTTTATTATAGGTATTTGATGCATTGTACTCGATATTATTGATTTAATTAGGAAAATGAAATTTGTAAAGGAAATAGAATATCAAAATATCCATTAAATGGAACATAAAAATTTTAGGCATGTTATATTCTTTAATTTGAAACGAGAAATAATATTTTCATTACGTATAAAAGAAAAAGCAAAATTAAACTCTGACACGTTAAGCGATCAGAAATTTACATAGAATTACGCAGTGTCCACATGTGTAAAAATATTATATTTTATAAATTTTTTGGATAGCTTTTTCACTATATCAAAATTTTACATTGTTTTGCACGATTAATAAATGTTATAATAGTATATCAACAAAATTTTCTTTTGCATAAAGTGCAAAATTTGTGCATAGATTTTATTGCATACGCAAACATATACATAATTTTCAAGTACACGGATAATTATATGGCGTATAATTTTACAACTCATGCAATATAATTATATATATGTACAAAAGTTGCTGACTTTGGATGAGAGCGAGTTTATTGTGTCTATAATTTTCATAACTATTTTTCCCTTTGATCCTATTTCATACATCCTTAATGGGACTCTTGTGTTTTTTCCTGAATTCCCTTCCCCGTCAACGCACATCTTACAGGCCCAAAGTTCAAGAGCCATGCAGCATAAGATGTTCGACCAGCATGGGATTAATACCAAGTTTACAATGTCGAGTTTGTCTCTGTTTATATCATCCTGAATGTGTTGACGGCATGGAATTTGCAGGCAATGATGAATATGTCTGCAAGGTAGGTTTACTGTGTGGTACAGTTCGAATCTCAATAATTGTTAATCCTTCGACTGCTGTGTTGGCGCCTGCGGGCTCTTGTTTTTGTTTCTTTTTGTTGGGAGATGATTTTAGCAATACACAACCTTAGCAAAATATTAAGCTAGAGGCTTTCTGAGTTTATACATGGAGCATAAAAGATCTGTGTAATGCACAAAAGTGCTCTATACACTAGCTTGACCGTGCACGAATGTCTTATTTCCAAGTGGTTTGCAGTCAAAGGATTAATTACACATGTAGAATTTTAAATGGTAAAAATCTACTGATGAATAAAACACTGAAAGTAACTGCATATGTTTATCCATTCATATGTTAATTTTTTATTTATATATTCGTATTCCGAAGTGTTGTGAAGGCACCCAAAAAGAAAATATGTAGAAAGGAGAGAGTGCCAATGTGAGCCACAAAATGAACGGAACTCGGTTCTCACAATATAGAATCAAAATTTCTCTTTAATAGCATACACGTTTCGACCCTTCCTCGGGTTTCCTCAGTAAAAGAACTACAATGAGATCATCGAAAGTACAGAATGAGAATACAGTACAACTTATAATACAGATTGGTTCAACAATTCTAGTCAGTTACCTCGTTTTCTCATCCTGTACTTTCGATAATCTCATTGTAGTTTTTTAAATGTTGTAGTTTTGTAACATTAAAAAAATATTATATATAATTACATGAGATAAATCTGTTGCAGAATTGTCAGCCAGATACTAAAGAATCTCACATGCCAAACAATCCGTCTTTAACACCACCTCCGTTGATTCCAATTAGTATGCTGGGCGCGCAAAACGCAAAATCAAAGCATCAGACTAATTCGTCCCCTCCGAAATTGCAAAGAATTCCAAAGTCCGAGGGTGCGGAAGCGCAAGCGAAAAATTCTTCCAAAATACCGTCCTCGGTCTCAAATTCGCCCTCAACCGTAGACAAGAAGGAAAGCACTTGGTTTCCTCAGACGGAGAATGAATTTCTGCAAAGTCACGATGGCACCATGCCGAAACCGGCGCAAAATATTGCTGTAATGGGCGGCAAAAGGTACATTGTAGTACCGAAAAATAACGCGATGGCAGTTCAACCGGCAATAACTGTGAAACCAGACAAAATTGGCGATAAACCGCCAATACTTCAAGACGGATCATTACTCGACATTCCGAACACTGCGGATAATCCTGCGACAAACTTGTGTTTACCTCCATCTTTAAACACCGATTTACCTGAAAAGATAAACGTTACACCTGATAAGGAAATTTCCAAAGATGCGATTCATCAGACGGATCTTGTATCTCCTATAAACACTGAATTGACTGAAACATTTACGTACGATAATAAAGATGAGGATAGTAAAAATACTCCTAAAAGAGATAATCCTGTTGACGATATACCAGAAAGCGAATCTTTTACTGCCACTGTAAATTATGTATCAGAGAGAAAGATGTCGGATACAAGTTGTAAATCGCCGGAAAGTAAATCTACATGTATATCGGCATGTGCAGCAAGTGTTACAAGTGCTGTTGAAGCGAGTGTGGAAACTGAGACAATTAAGATAGACGGGCAACAGCCGTTACCAAGTAAAGGGGGTACAGTAAAAAAAACTAAAACTAGCAAGTAAGTGTATATGCTTGAAACACATAGGCATTCTCGTTTTATTTCTTATTTAGAATATTATTTTAAAAATAATTTAAGTTACGGCAACTCTCTTTTGAGGTTTTGGCAGTTGCTTTGTGTACCTGTATCGGACACGTTTGTACAAAGTACGATAAATACGATACTCTTTCTGTAATAATCCACGCTTCATCTAATTATATAGACAACGTTATATTCTTTTATTTTTTACAAGCTGGACTGTACATTAGATTTTATATTGTATAATATTTTAGGTTATACATTAGAGTCTTATTTTATATGGCAACACATATGGCAACAGACATTTCAATACCAATTTTATATTGTAAATAAAGTACAATTGTAAATTGTAAATGCAATATACTGATGCTTGTTATATTTGGAAATATAAAAATCTAACGTTGAAAAATGAATTTGATTTTATCTTACGACCGAAGCACACTGCCTTAGCTTCTTAGAAATGCGGCCAAATTTACGACAAATGTAAGAAATAAATAAGAGGTGCACCTGTTGGTTATATCACGTTGGTACTTTATGTAATTGTAGTATCAAGGTAAATTAATTTTTACAAGCAGTTTAGTTTTACTCGATGTTAAAATGCACATTTATGTATGAATATCAATGTTTACATTCATGCTGCAATTACAAAGTTACTGATAAGTGCTTCAATGGGAAAAATCTAATTCATTTTTACTTTTTATATTTGCAGATATAAAGACATGTGTGCGAGCTGAAACAAAAACTCTTAGTGCGTTTTCCCATAAATTCTCACAATCCTTTTCCTCCGATCACATGTCCTCTTTATTTCTATATTTATTTCTTTGTGTTAAATCTTTACTTTCTTGATAGGAACATATAAATTCTCGATCAGAGATTATTTTTATCAGAGGCTTTTTATACCGAAAATCATAGTATGTGCGTATAGTATGTGACACTAGTACGTAACAAATGATTTTTAACCGCATCGCGTCTTTAAAGGCCTCTTTTCAAAAAATAAACTCTCGTCTTTGTTTTACAATTTTTAACAAATAAGTTGCCTTTCGAACATACAACACGATAAGTGTTTCCACAGACGTAATTGACGTCAGGTTCTTAAAATGCGTGTTTCTTTCGACATTTTCAGGAGGAAACAGAACCAGCAGGAATTAGATCAACAGCAGACTTTCATGAATTCAGTTTGCGCCGGTTATCATGCATTGTTGCGTATTTTCCAATACCTTAAAGTCCAAGAGTTATTGCGAGCCGCGCGAGTTTGTAAAATGTGGCGTGATCTCGCTGCGCATCCATCTCTATGGAAGACCGTACGAATGAAGAACAGTCAGGTGACCGATTGGGACGGCTTGGCGGATACGTTACAGAGACGTGGTACGCAGCATCTGGATTTAAGGAAAATGTTAGTTGCCGGCGAGTCCGACAACATTTGGAGGAAATTCCTCACTGTCATACCACGAGTGACCAGTCTCGTGAAGCTCGAGTTATGCAGATGTCCCGTTGTGGTGGTGGAAGAGGTCATTAAGAGCTGTCCACAGTTGGAAGTATTCAGTGCAATGTCGATCAAGTGCGACTCCCTCACATTGGAGTCGATCGGGAACTTGAGTCGATGTCAAGAACTCAGACTCAAAGCAATAACTGGGATGTCATTACAGCAAGATCTTACGCCTTTGCAAGAATTGAAGCATTTAACACAGTTGGTAAGAATCTATATCCCTTGAGCATGTAATTTTTATCACGATATTTGTTTTATTTGATTACTCAATATTGGACAATGGCTTGATGTATTACTTTTCTTTTGTATACAGAGTTTGACGTCGGTTAAAGAGCTTGGAAAGAAAAAAATTGACGTTCTACAAGCGTTGACGAATTTGGAGACGTTAGAGTTGGGCGAATGCTCCGATTTTCCTGAAAAGTTTGGAACTACCGTTTTAATCAAATTAAATAAATTGGAGCGCCTTAGACTTGAAAAGGGTCAAGGCTCTTGTTGTACATTTGATATCCTCGAAGGTGTATCGAAATTGGAGAACTTGAGTCAAATGGAATTAGTTAATTTTGACGTGAAGAATGGTTTCGACAAATGTCTGGCTAATTGCAAAAACATCAAAAGGTTATTGATCATACCGACTTACATATCCCAATCGGCGACATCTAATAACATGGTGCTCGGAGGTGTCACGGAATTGTCGGACAATTTGACGCACTTCATATGGGGCGTCACGCTCGAGCTGCTCAGGGTTACGGAACTGTTTGTTGATCAGTGCAACCTCATGAGTAAACAGGTTACTGGCGATTCTATACCCGTTTTAAAACCTGTTCCCTGTTTAAGATTAATCGCGGATGTTGAGGATGAGAATGAGAACCAAAAAGGTAGGTATCGAATTTGTAGAGCCAGTTTCATTATTAGACGGCTGATTCGATTATTTCGAGACAAATTATTTCCATGACTAAATGTATCGTTATTTAATAATTTTACAGGTGACGACAAGCAACAGCCGCATCTAACGAGTCCGCAGGTCGATATTTTGCCATTGCCACAGTTGCAAAAGCTTCTCTTAACCGCGTTGCCCAAGACGCGAGTCAAAATCTTAAAAATTCCTTTTCACGCCACGTGGCGGCAGAGCATTTCCGATACCACAACGCAGTAGAAACGAAACGAGAATCGATACTGGTACGAAGTCGGACGAAACAAACGGACATTACAGTGGCATTTGCGAGAGTTGGAGATTTTTGTAAAGCTGACTCCGCACAATGTCCGTGCTCCTATATCTACTATTTTTCGGACGGAGAATAACTTATATATTTATGTATTATGAGTTTTATAATCTTCAACGATTAATAATCCTTGGCAACGTATCGGTACACACTGCGGTATATTTACTATTTTTGTGATATAAATACGTGGGACCATGTATCGCGCACCATCTTTGCCGTAGGCAAAATGATGTTGACAGGCTGGTACCCTGGTATGGGTTAATTTAATGAGGTAAATTTCTGACTTTTATATATCACAATTTTTCTTTCTCCAAAGAAATGAAGGAATGGAAAAAAAAATGGTATAGATTTGTACTATTGGAGTTGCTGTGATGTGTACCTGCGTTGAAAAAGTAACCGGACACGGTTACGGATATCTGAGTGTTTCGGATTCTAATGGTAAAAAATTTAATGTTTATAAAATTATATATGTTCATTAGCAAGGAGAAAGATACGGAGCGGAAAGAATCGTTTTATTGAATGCTTGAATGCCGAGAGCACTGGTCTTCTTTTATGGTATCTATTAAGATGATACCCAGTATCGTAAAGTAGTTAAATTTATTATTTTATTTTACGTAATATTAAGCATCTACCGGAGTAACAGAAAGTACGATCGCACGATCTACGGCTCTATCTAGAGATTAGACTGTATAAAATAACGCTATATACATATATTATGATTGTATCTGTATCTTTTAATGTTTAGGATACGAGTTTTCCGCTGCAAAGAACCGACGGCAAAATTGAGCTAGCGTAGAATGTGTAATATACTTACTTCATTGCACAATACATAATCAAATACGATGTTACGAAAATATTCATTGACATATGCTATTATATTGAGTACAAAGTGTGTATAACTAAGTTTTCAATAATGACTTCTATACTCTTAACGAGACGCAACTTATTTCTTTGTTTTGTTGATCCTGGCATTATCGCGTCTAAGAGGAGCGTATTAGGGGAAGAAGAAAGAGATTTATATTTTATACCGTGTTAAGGAAACAGCGTATATATTAGAGGGGCGCGAAGATTACGTTTTAAGTAATATAAATTGAACATATTAAAATTATATTGTAAGCAATACCACCGTAATTTATTTTACACATACGAACCCTGGTATGCGTGTATTTATGAATTTTTCCCATTCGGGCACTTTCTCTTGTTAGATACCGAGGTAAAACCTTTCAAATTCTGCAAGTCTTGGCGTTTCGCAGGGATGCATTTTGTCTCGCGCGGGCTCTACATCTCTTCAACATTTTGAGTTTTATCATTTGCTTTGCAGCGCGAAAATTCAGGTATACCCTAAGTTTTATTGTATTATGTTTTGTTGCATCGTGCAACGTCGACAATTTATCCGTGTTAAGTGGACTTTGCGTCCGCGGTTAACCAATTGCATGCGTAACAGGAGGTAGTTCTTACATTATCATAATTTGTAATTGGATGTGTACGAAAATTTCCGAAACAACTTCTTTTCCTCTTCAATGTATACAGGGTGGGTCTTAGCTGCTGCGCGGGCCCTTTTACCATGAGAGAGGG